CGTGAGCGGTCGCTGCCGTTGCGGAAGGCCTGCTCTGCGGGGCCTTCCACGCCGCTCCGGAGCAGCCGAGGCAGGGCCCTTCGCGAGTGTTCGCCTGGAACCCGCCGTTAGAGTTCGGGGTGAGGTACTGGCCGTCGTCTTGAGCCGTTTCCCTGTCTGCGCCTCCGGTGCAGTGACGTTAGGTGGTGGTAGACTGTAGGCGATGGTAACGGGAAGGAGGGTGTAACTCCTGAATTGCTGTCGCGTTTTCTGTGAGCGGCTCCTGGTGGTTTATGGGTTAGGAGAAAATTTTAATGGTTGGGGAAGGTAATGCTGTAGCGCTGAACGTCTCGGTGGTGGCAAATGCTCGTCGCGCCTTCAGCTACTGTAAACTGTTGATACCCGAAAAATACCATTCCTAGGTTTGGTTTTCTGCGGTGAGCTCCTGAAAAATCTCAACAACGAGATTAAGGTGCCTTTTCCAGACGTCAGGCTTTGTCCGACTCTTCAGTTTCTCATAGCTGAAGGAAGTACATTGATTTTCTTTCTACAGGTAGATGCGGTTGATACTACTTAATCTATTTAGTGGTTTTGAAGATACAGTTTTAAAGAAATAGCACAAAGATACGGTTTTAAAGAAGTAGTTTTAATGGTAATGAAACTGGGAGAATCATGAAGCTAAAATGGAGAGTATGCAAAGATCTGATCTTTAACTAAATTGGCATGCTATATGCTGCCTGAAGGGAACAGTTATTTTGCCCTTATATATACCTTTGTGTCTATATGAAGACATATATATGTATGTGTCAATATGTACATTTATACATATATGTATTTATATGTCCTGATATATATGAACATATGTGTGTGTATATATGTAAAACCAAACATATGTGTGTATGTATATAAACACACCTGTTTGCGGTTGCCTGTCAGCTCTGAAATTATTGTTCAGAATGAAGCACTTAAATAACGGTTAACTGTTTTAGATAAGTTAACTCAATATAAATAGCATTACTGCTTTTGTGCAGCATAAACAACTTCTAAGAGCTGTAGGCACTTCCTTTTGGCTCTTTGCTTCCTTATCCTCAGGAAGCTTGGCTATGATCTGCAGCATATGGTTGGAATGTACCTTTTAGGGGCTTTCCCTGACGTCATCAGTGTAAATCACTTGTCTGATGCTGAGGTCTAAGCTGATCTCAGCAGTCCTAAGTACTGGGAAAATGTGCATGGAGTTCATGTTTTCTGTTGTTGTTTTATGTATCAGCAAATGCAATTTCTGGAGAGGTTCAGATTCTGATCACCCTCTTAATATTCACATTTTGACTTTCACTTAAATCTGTTACTCGGTATGTGATGTTTGATTTACATGAAAATTGCATCAAAGCTCTGATTGACAGCGTAAGCTTGCTGTTGGTATTACTCTGATATTTTGCTGTCACTAATGTTGCTAGCTAACTGTGAAAGGCAGCAAAAGTTTGAATTTGAAGAAGTTATTCAGACCTGGAAAGGAAAATTTATCTTGCACTCTCATCATCAAATCTTAGTGCTCATCTATGTTATACCTGCAGATATGAATTTATTGTTTAATCTGGTTTTATTCTAAAGAATATATACAATTGTGTACTCAGTTGTACTATAAGAAGTGCTCTAACTGCTATGTTTTTAAAAGGAGTGTATCAACTATTGAATCTGCAAACTGCAAGTTATAATTCATTGGAACTTATTTCAGCAAGCTCCAGATGAGAATAATTTCCAGGAATCTTTTTGATACTGCCTCCTGATTATTTTTTTGAGGGTCATTGATGATGTGCAAACATACTTTTTTTGGAGCTCTAAGTGGAAAGAGAAAGAATGCTGAATGCATGTGGTTATAACTGCTGAAAGTGTTTATATAAAAGCATAAGATTGTTTTTTGTATGCTCTTGGTATAGCTGAAGCATTGCTCTTGGGTCTGCACTGTACTAATTGTTTTCTGTTAGAGTAAAGGCTAGTTGAGGATGTGTCTCATATTAATGAGTTAAGGTGACTAAAGAGTGAACAGTATCTTCGACTGTTTGCTTCTGTAGGACTCTCCTCATGTTTTCCTTTCACTATAAAACATTCTGAACAGTCAACCCTTGATTCTGTGCTCGGTTACTGTATTTTTGTTATCTCTACTTACTTCTTTTTAGGTAACTTTGTAAGTTTGTTCGTACAAGACTTAACCTTTTTTCTGTATTACATTCAAAACAATGGGGCCTCATCCTGGTTGTATCCTCTGTGCACTGTAGTACACAAATGCTAAAGAATAAAATGACAGAGCTTCTCAGCAGTACAGAGAAATCACCATGCTCACACCTAACTGAAATTTTCTCCAGCTGTCCGTTGATGTTTTCTGTCATCATGTTTTTAGTCTTTGTAAGTCTTCCGCAGTGCTCTGGTCAGCTCTGTTCCCTCTTGTCCCCTGCTCAATAGCTCAGATTCCCATCTCTGTATGTGTCTCTGTTTTACTGCTCTCTGGATTTTGCTTCTTCCTGTGCATAAAAATTAATACTGCTTATTTCCTCTTTCATTTGTTACCACCAGTAAAAAAGAGAAGAGGTGGGGGGTTGGGAGGGACCAGAATAACAGTCTTTTCAAGTTCTAGTAAAGCAGCTGTGGCTCTGTCCCTGTTCCCTAGATCGGCCCTCTGACTTCCAGTGAGGCTCTCCTCCTCACCCTTGCGCTGACTACTCCAAAGTCTGCCCTTTTGTGTTGGTTGTTGTATAAGCAGAGGCACAGCTTTGCTGAGAGAGGATGTAAATGTTCTTTTAATATTTGGAGATTGCGTGGGTGAGGAAATAAATCGCCTTTTCCTCCCTCTGATGGAGGTCCCACACTTAGTCACCTAACCAGTTCTCACCAGGAAGAAAAAGTACAACCTGGCCTGTGGTGATACAGGGTGGTACAGAAAATAGCTTGATTTCACAAGTAAAGAAGGTAATAGAAAGGAAGATGCGGTGGCTCTGTCACAGAAAATCAGTAACTGTCACATTCCTAGACCATACCTCAGGTTAGCTTTTATTCTTTGCTCTTGATTGCTTCGCATAGCCATTTGTTCAAAATAGCTGTTAGTCTTTGCAGGCAAAGACTAAGTGGAATTTTCTGTGACTTGTATTTTGGTCCAAGCATACGTTTGTGGCCTGCTCTCAGCTGGAGATTTAGCAATATTATTTCATTCTTGGGCTCAGGTTTATAGGTATGATGAGATGTGTTTCTGTTAATTCCACACTTTCACAAAGAAGTTTGTTGATGTGGATGGCTTGGAAGTGGATACATGACACTTGCAGTTAGAGAGAGGATGGTTTGAAAGCAAATACAAAGATGCTTTGTAACTGTCATCCTAGATTGGTAAGAAAACTTACCAGACTTTTTTAATTTAGATCATATTTTTTAAAAATTTTATTGCTATAATAATCTAGTCATTGGTATACTACTACTAATCGTAGATAGTGGCCTTCCACGATGGAGTAAGTGAATCAGTGGATAAAAGAAGAACCACTGATGTCATCTGCCTGGACTTCTGTAAGGCCTTTAACACGGTAACACACAACATCCTTGTCTCTAGAGAAGGGTTTGATGGATGGACTGTTAGAAGGACAAGGAGTTGGCTGGCCGCCGGCTCTGTCCAAAGAGTTGCAGTCAATGGCTCAATGTCTGAATGGAAGCCAGTAACGAGTGGTGTCCTTCAAGGATCCAGACTTCAACCAATACTATTCTGTATCTTCATCAGTGATATTGGCAGTGGCATTGCACGCACCCTCAGCAAGTCTACTGATGACAGCAGGTTGAGTGGTGCAGTTGATTTGTTTGAGGGAAGGGATGCCATCTGGAGGGACCTTGACAGGCTTGAGGAGTGGGCCAGCTCGTGAAATTCAAAAAGGCCAAGTGCAAGGTCCTGCACCTGGGTCAGGGCAATCCCCAATATCAGTACAGAATGGGGGATGAATGGATTGAGAGCAGCCCTGCAGAGAAGGGCTTGTAGATCCTGATGGATGAAAAATGAGCTATGAGCTGGCAGTGGGCGCTTGGCAGCCCAGAAATCCAGCTGTAGCCTGGGCTGCATCACAAGCAGCGTGGCTGGCAGGTCTGGGAGGGGATTCTGCCCCTCTGCTCGGCTCTCGTCAGACCCCACCTGGATCCAGCTCTGGGGTCCCCAGTACCAAGACAGACACTGACCTGTTAAGAGTGGGTCCAGAGAAGGACCCCAACAATGATCCGAGGGCTGGAACTCCTCTCCTGTGAAGAAAGGCCAAGAGAGTTGGGCTTGTTCAGCCTGGAGAAGAGAAGGCTCCAGGGAGACATTAAAGCAGCCTTTCAATATACAAAGGAGGATCACAAAAAAGATGGAGAGAGACTTTTTACCAGGGCCTGCAGTGACAGGACAAGGGGCAACAGCTTTAAACTGGAAGAGGGAGGATTTAGATGAGATAAGAGGAAGAAATTCTTCCCGGTGAGGGGGGTGAGGCAGTGGCGGAGGTTGCCCAGAGAAGCTGTGGCTGCCCCATCCCTGGGAGTGTTGAAGGCCAGGTTGGATGGGGCTGTGAGCGACCTGGTCTGGTGGGAGGTGTCCCTGCCCACGGCAGGGGGTTGGAACCAGGTGGGCTTTAAGGTCCCTTGAACCTAAACCACTCTACGATTCTGTGATTCTGTATTCCTGGTGCAACCCTAATTAATGCTTTCACTGGCTTCTATAGTGCCTATTTACACCGTTGTGTCTAGTGTAGATGCAAATAATAACAAATTTGAACAGTGAGCTTCTTAGCATAAATTAAACAAGTAAAATAACTTGTTTTGCCACTACTCTAAGACCAAATAACTTTTATGTAATCTTGCATGTTGTACTGCAGAATTGCAAGTTGACATTAAAAGTTTAGATATGTTAATTCTAACCAAGTCATAAACCCCTAATCTCATTGCTGTGATTAATTTCTAATTTAAGTTGAAGATAAAACAATGCTTAGATGAAAAATGTGCCTCTGCAAATGAATTATTTTTTTTTCCCCTGGAGGGTGTGTGTTGTTAAGGTAGTATGTTTCATTTATGAAATAAGAGAAGACTAACTGTTAAACTTTTTTTCAGGTATTTTTGTTGAAAGTAGATAAAATGGCGACATTAATTCACACTTTAGCAGATCATAGTGATGATGTCAACTACTGTGCCTTCTCATCGTCGTGCTTGGCTACTTGTTCCTTGGACAAAACAGTTCGCGTTTATTCTTTAAGCAACTTTGCTGAGCTTCCGTACTCGCCTTTAAAAGGTCATACATATGCTGTCCACTGCTGCTGCTTCTCTCCATCAGGACATGTTTTAGCTTCGTGTTCAACAGATGGCACTACTGTGGTTTGGGACACTCGTGATGGTCAGATGCTGGCAGTGCTAGAGCAGCCCAGCAGCAGTCCTGTTAGAGTCTGCAGATTTTCTCCTGAGTCCACATACCTAGTGTCAGGGGCAGCGGATGGGAGTGTAGTTCTTTGGAACATGCAGTCATTGAAACTGTACAGGTGAGTGCCAAATATTTTTTGACAACCTTGTTTACAATGACAAGAATGTAATTTAAGTAGTATGCTGTACTGTGTACAAGACTTGCTGACTTACACCACTGATTGATATCATGAAGAAACAGGCATAGTGTTTAGAAGTCCAAAAGATTATCAATAGGAGAGGGAGAAGTGCTGAGTCTTTCTGTTTTTTGAAGTTAAACATTGCAAACTCAAGAAGCTTTAATTTTTACTAAGTTATTTTTCATCTAAATCCTGATTATTATTTTTTTTAACTTCATGGAAGTGTTTTCGTTGATCTAACATGGAATCAGGATGCATTGAATACTGCATGCATCTGGTTTCTGAACAGTGGGTCAACAAACTATGATATGTAATATACAATTAATTGGTAGAGCCTGACTGCGCTGTGTGCCTTATATTGCATTATACATAGTGTTTTTTAATTAAGTATTCAATTACAAGGCTATTTGGAGTCCAGGAAGGTGTTAGAAGCTTGGTAGTAATCCAGTAATCCAAGAGTTTGGATTGATGATTCCTGAAACCATACAGTTTAAGACATAATGGTGACAGAAAGGAGTATTGGAGCTGAGTGAGTTAAGTATGATGGTCAACATGTCACATGGGTTTCCAGTAAACATTTGAAACGAAGCGGATGAGCATTTTTAGTGAAGTTGCACAGTTAAAGACTTGAACCTTAGGATGATCTTCAAAGTCCTCCTCTACGTCTCTACCTCTGTATTTCAATAAAGTCTTCAGGCCAGTTGTTGTAATCTGTGCTTAGGCAAGACATTATTTAGGTTTTAGAGCAGCAGTTAAACAACATCTCTCTGAAGTTAGAAAAGAAGTTAAGAATTGGAGAGAATCGATGAGATGTTTCACTCAGGATGAGGAAGGAGCCATTTCTGAAAGCCAAAGTTGTTTGGTTGTGGTAATCCCATCCAGCATTTTACTGTTTTTGTGGTCTCTCTACCTTTGCCTTCCTCAACAGTGATTTACATGGGAACTGTAAAATTTTTCAAAATGATTGATTATAGTTATCTGAAATCATGTAAATCTGGAAACCTGTCCGTAAACAGAAGTCTAATAGATTTTTGCCACCTTGTGGTTTATAATGCATGCAGAAACACTGAAATGGTTGTTTTGTTTTCAGAGAATAAAGAGGTTTTTAGTGTTATCTTTAAGAAAAACTGGGAATTTCAGTCATTAGTGTTCTGAAGTCTAAGGGTTTATGTATTTTGAGGTATTACTAGTGAAGAGGATTTTTTTTTTATTCAGAATATTTGTTACTGACAGGGGAAAACCCAGAAATATTAAAAAGTCATTTATTACAAGTATATGCTATTAATATATGCAGTGACGCATGTTTTAGACCTCCTGAATTTCCTCCCCATTGAATGGTGGATGTATAATGACTATGTCAAAACTATATTGTTGCTTTAAACAGAAATTATTCTGCTTTGGTGTTTCCATTGTAAAGAAACAAGAACGAACTTGAACATTCCAATCCTGTCCCCTTCACTTTTAAAAGTTCATTTCAAAGTGTTAATATGCCAACAGTAGTCAGCTTAATTTTAATTGTATATATATTTTCAGCTGATGATTTTTTTTATTATTATTATTGTCATTAGTAATTGCAGATAGAAAAGTGCACCTGTCCCATTTTCTTTAAGCCGAGATCAATATTACTTAGAAATTATCAAGGTAATTAAAAATTATGTCAGAGGATTTTAGTTAATGTCTAATGTCAGTCTGTGGTCCTCTGTTTCTTTTGCAACACTTGATTGTCTTGATGCGAAAAAAAGAGAACACCTTTTGCCACACTATTATGTCACTTGACTAAATATACAGACAGTAGTTACAACAAAGGTATCCAGTTACTCCTTATCAGCTCAACTGTTTTAATTAACTGTCTGTTCAAATTGTGAAGCAAGATGGCTATTTAAATAATCTCTATGATGGATGTGAACAACATGAAAGCAGGTTAATTTATGTATATTTCTTAAAGTGTTCTCTATTTCCTGCTCAGTAGTTATGATACTGAGATGTGGCCTGAAAGTCTTAAATGCATACTCTGAACATATGTAGTACTATTTATTTTGCTCTTACGTTTTCAGAGCAGAATCTGCAGCTTTTTGCGTGAAAGAAGAAAAGTTTTTAAATCTGCTCTAAGGAAAAAAAAATTGTACATATAAAGACAGGAAGCACTGTAGTGTATTTGATACTATCCTTAATGATGGATTTAAGGGAGTCAGTGTTTTTTTTTTGAAGGTCCTAGGTCTGATTAGAGAGGCTTTCAGGGAAGTTTATTGGGTTGTCTTCTGTGGCATTAAGTTTGGCACCTCTGACAGTAAATAAAATTTCTATCGGCAAAAGAGAATGAGCAGCTGTTCTACAAAATACAACAACAGAGTAAATAAGACTAACATTTCTTGCTGTATGACTGTTGCTTGTGGCTGTGATACTTTTTTTTCCTGCACTTAAAAGATTCAACTGTGCATGCTGGGCTGGATCTAGTGTCCATTAAAGGAGTGAGACACTTTCAATTGACTTTAGGTTACTATCAGATAACCTAAAGGATGTTAGGTTGACCCCACTTCCTTAACGAGGATTGACCACACTTCCATATCTGCTAGGACTTTTAAGATCAGTTTTTCAAAGTGCTTTGGCTAACTTAGTTAAAATATAGAAATAATTTTTTTCACATTGCTTTCTCTTGTGTATGAGTAGTCCAAAATCAACCCTGTATCATAAATCAAAAAGTATTCTGTTCAGCTACAACTTATCATACGGGTTTGTAGATGTTCTGTTTTGCCTTTAAAAACAGAACAGAGAAATTGTGGGAGTCTTCCCCCCCCCCTCCTTTGTGTACCTGTAAATCTGTGTTATGATAGTTGTGTACTTCTCTTCGACTTTTAAAATTTATCCTGCTATAGAATTTTAACAGTGCATTGTGCCTTTCAAATGGTAAGTCCATGTAGATTGTCTTTAATTTGAAAATTATTTTATCACTCAGCTAAAATTATTGCCCTGATATGCCATCTCACATTTTCCCTCCTGCAGCAGGTCCTGGTTCCCACAGTAATGCTTATTTTGCATCTCTTCCCATAGTTGATAGGAGTTTCTCTCTCTTATGTTACCAAGTTCCAAAATGCAAAACTTAGAATAGTTTGCCTTATTGTATCAGATTGCATTTTAGACATCACTTCTTCAGAACGTTACTTACCCTAAATTCAAATCCCATGTATTCTTGCTTTTCAGATCTGGGAATGTTAAAGATGGTTCTTTGGTGGCCTGTGCGTTTTCTCCTAATGGAAATTTCTTTGTCACTGGATCATCGTGTGGTGATTTAACCATTTGGGATGATAAAATGAGATGCCTGTATAATGAAAAAGCACATGATCTTGGCGTTACCTGCTGTGATATTTCTTCACAGCCAATTTCTGGTTAGTTACTTGACTCGTCATGGGAAGAACATGGCAAAAAAAGAGCTTTTCTCTCTAGCTCTTGCTTTCGTATTCTTTTTGTCATCAGTGCTCAAGATACAAATGACATTGGGAAGAGCTGATGTTTTAGAATATTCTGAATATTCCTAAGTAAAAGTTGTGTTCAGGTTGACGACAAGGAATGTACTAGGTCAACAAACAAGGTGATTAGCATACTTGTGGTAGCTTTCAGTTGCTAATTATCCTGTCAGGGTTTTGGAAGATGTTTGGGCGGTGTCTGTAAGTCAAGCCTATCTCCCGGGGCTAACAAGGGTGTTAGAAGATGCAGTGCTAGATTACCATTCCCACATTTTCATACTTTGGTTCCCCAAGGAGCATGACTGGATTAAAGCAATGCAGAGAACTGTAAACGTAGTAAGCTGAATGCTTGAGCTGTGGGATGTGAATAGATAGATTGTTTTCCTGCACCTGACTTTCTCAGTTGGAGGAATTTGAGGGAGCAATGAGCCCAGAACCTCATGTTTCCCACTAAGATGTGGTACTCTTCAGATGTCTTACAGCTGTTTTAGCTGACCTCACTGTGTAAGTTGCATTTCAGTTTTGTCATTATGTGCTTCTTCACAGTTGTGTTGGGCAAGAAGTTAGTTTTTTTTCTTTTGAGAATGAAATCTGATATTCTTGTATATATTTGGGTATTGAGAACAAAAACATAAGGCATGCATAGTTTAGGCCTTTCTCAGGGCTGCATTGCATATTTTGTTTAGTTTTCTTTCATTTCACGTTTGTAAGGCTTTCTGTGGAACTAAAATAATTAGAACCTAGATTACTTCTCTCTATGCAAAAACATGTATACTGAAAATTAGGTATTTAAACTTCCAGCTATCTCAGGGAAAGCTTTGCATTTGTGTATACAGGCTTTTGAAATTATTGTTGTGGTTTAATCGCAGCTGGCAGCTCAGCCCCGTGCAACTGCTCGCTCACTTGTCTCCGGTGGGCTGGGGGAGAGAATCAGAAGGGTAAAAGTGAGAAGACTTGAGGGTTGAGATAAAGACAGTTTAATGGGGAAGGCAAAAGCCACGCACACAAGCAAAGCAGAACAAGGAATTCATTCCCCACTTCCCATGGGCAGGCGGGTGTTCAGCCACCTGCAGGAAAGCAGGGCTCCGTCACGAGTAGCGGTGGCTTGAGAAGACAAATGCCTTAACTCCGAACGTCCCCCCCTTTCCTTCCTCCTTCAGACCAGCTTTTATTGCTGAGCACGATGCCATTCGGTCTGGAACATCCCTTTGGCCGGTGGGGGTCAGCTGTCCCGGCCGTGTCCTCTCCCAGCTCCCTGTGCCCCCCCAGCCTCCTCGCTGGTGGGGTGGGGAGAGGAGAGGAGCAGAAGAGGCCTTGAGGCTCTGCAAGCGCTGCTCAGCGGTAACGAAAACATCCCTGAGTTACCAGCACTGCTGTGGTCACAAATCCACAGCGTAGCACCATAGGAGCTACTGTCTTAGCCAAAACCGATGCAATTATGTCACAACACAGACTTTTTATATAGTTGTGTGGGAATACTGAAGAGTTGCATGTCTAAGGTTGTGCAGCTTGTGTAGTGGACGGAAACATTTGCACAAGAAGAACTTCTATTTGAAATATCCTGGTAGAAGTTAATTGCAGTACAGGAAGGTGTCATAGCTGAATAATCAAACATTGGAAATTCTGAAATAAGAGTCTGAAAAGCTGAAAGGTTAATTTGTATACATTTTTGTCAGGTAAAAATGTTTAATAAAGAGTTAAAAAATCACAGAGTCATCCGCTTTTGATGGAGATTGAAAACTGGGCAGAAGCCTAATTGTCAGATTTAAGAACTAATGCTTTAACTTGTCTTAACAACCTTGTAGGTATACTTCTGTGCTTTCCAGCTCTACTATGGAGACAAAGTGGTCTCCATAAAGACACGTAGGCTTCTATTTTCAGAGTACACATGAGCTACTCTTTCAAAGGTACCAAAATTGTAACTGAGCAGCCACTTACATCTTTCAGCACTAAAGACAGCGATAAATACTGCTGTCTGTGTACCCCCTTGTCTAAGAAGGTGGTAGAGAGCAGGAAGAAAGCAGGAAAAGAAGCGGGGGAGAAAGCAGGACAGAAACAGGAGAAAGCTGAGGAAGTAGGATGTGAGCATGTACTTCAGTACAGAGAATTAGTGACAGACAATACCAAATCAATCAAATGTATGTCCGATGAAAGGTGTAGGGACAGCATTGAATTAATCTGTCACAATAGAAAGGAGATTCATCTTTAAATAACACCTCTAGATCTTTCTTGGTGAAAATACTACCCAAAAATCTCCGTTGTGAGCTGAGAGTTGCATCTGAGGGCGAAGGAACACGTTGAAGCTGAAAGAGATCAGAGTGTCATTTCCACCGCTCCATTTCCTGTTGAGATTATTCTCTTGGTTTAAAAAAGTATGTTACCAATCCTTCATTTTTTTGTCCTTCTGCCAAGATAGAAATAGGCAAGAAAGCAAGCATTTCCTACACTGTTGATTTTTTTTTAAACCTGATTTATGATCATTCTTAATTTTATTTAAGCCATACGTTATTGAAAGTCAACATTTTTCCTTTTTGTATGTTGCTGTTTAATCACCAGGGATTGAAATTTCTCAGATTATTGGCAGATTTAACACATTACAAAATCCATACAGGTTATCCAGTACAATTAAAGATCGTTTTAGATTGAGACTCTCTTTACCTGCTTAATTTGGAGCAAAATTAGAACCAGAGTTTCTAATTGGTTCTTTGTGCTTTAGGCTGTTTGTAACAGGTGATTCTCCTACCTTTAAAGTGGATTCAGTCACAGTTGCGTAGAAGCTTATCAGATCTAGAGCAGCTGTAATGCTGCGCGGGCTTTCCCATCTGACTACAGTTTCAGTGCTGCCCTTCTCCTCAATAAGTGAACTTCAGTGAAATTAATGTGGCAATACTGCTAAAAAATAGGCAGATCTTGCTAAAATTTTCTAGTGAACCTCAGTGGGAGGCAGTGTAGTCCTCCTCCAAGTTATCCCAAGGAGCTCTGCCTGTACAACACTCTAATACCCCATTAACAGGTTGGTAACTTGTAAAACAGTGTCAGAATCTGTTCATCATGACAGAATTCTCACCCAGACCAAGTTTCCAAGTAACATGTTCTTAGTTACCAAGAAACATCTGTTTTTACAACATGATAGCTAATGCGTGCTACTCATCTCTCTGCAAGACCCAAATCTTACACTGTAAAATCCTAGCAAAAATGATGCACTTCGATGCTTTGATGTTTAACAGATTTGAGGTAGATCCTAAGATCTGCCACAGTCATAGTAGCTCTCATTGTTCCTGTGAGCAAATAGGTCTATGTATAGTAGGACTTTATTGTGATAAACGTATGAAATTAAAATATACTTTATAGGGTGGAAAAATGGAGATAAAAATCTCTGAGGCTATTTTGTAAGACACTTGACAGTAAATATTTTGACATTTCTGATAACTACAGAGCTGGAAAGATGAACCCTTAAAATATCTGTTACGATTTTCAGATTTCCAGCCTTAATCCTGATGGTTCTTGTAGGAATTCTGAGACTTGGTACTGGCAGAGGTAATGCCACTGAAGGATTGTTATGGTGACTTGTGTCAGGCTGGTGTGGCAGCTCAGTGGAGTAGAAGAGCAGAAGTAATTTGGCACAGGACTTAATAAAACAAAATTGATAGTGGGCCAAAACAACACATTTAGAAAGGAACATGATCATTCAGAAATACTCATATCCACTGAATAGAGAGGGGAAAGCTATAAAGCTTTTACTGTTGTATTTCATCTTTAATGCAGTATTTCTTGAGTGGTTGTCTGGACTGCAGTCATGAAACATCCCTTAGTTTATAAAACTGAAAAGCTGAACATTTTAAATTATGAAAATAGCCTGTCAGATACTCTCAAATTTTGTGCATGCATATGTGGTTAAGTTTGAGAGCTACTGAACTGTAGAAGAAATGGGTGTGACCATATAATTTAGGTTAAAAGACTATATTGTATTGTTGTGCTCGATAGATAAATCAAACATTTACCATCAAGAAAACTTAAAGTATGAGCCCAGTTCTGGTCTTCATCTGCTTGTACAAGAAACAGAATGACAACGATACCTATTTCTTTCTTCTAAATGATTTTAGAACTTATGCAATTGTTTTTATTAGCACTTTTAAAAAGTGATACTGAGATTAAGGAAATGTACCAAATTCCAGTGTAAGAATGCTGATGTAGTTTACTGATATGCTGTTATTTTCAGTGCTTCTGATTCCCGTTAATATATTTGAATTTTATCAGACGGTGATCATGGATTCACATACTTCCAGATGGCTTCTTGTGGTCAAGATAATCAGATCAAACTCTGGCTTACTTTGTTTGCAGATTTCTTAGGTGTGTATAGTGATGCTTTTTTTCATACTCCAATGTCTTAAGTCTTTAGTGACAATTTACATCTAAGATCAAATTTATACTGCTGTCATGGATTCACAGCCAAACTGACCACAAGTTGAAAATTTTCTTTTAATTGTTTAGCAGGAGAGCAGCTGAGGCATGCAGCGCTTTGTGACATTGGGCCTTGTAGATTTTATTTAGTGATCTATTTATCGATAATTGTAAAAGTAAATATTTAAAAAAAGCTCTCCCCCGATTTCCTCAAACAATGTTATGATAAACATTTGGGTTTCATTAGCATTTTTACCTTTCGGTAACCAGTAACATTTCTACTGTGGCCTTTGAGCAGGTTGATAGGTTGGAAACTTTTCATCTGCCAGGCCAGGGAGATGTTTCCTTTCATCTTTCAGCACATCTTGGCCCTGAAGCAAGAGCTAGAGAAATGAAAACAGTGTTGGCTCCGCTAAAACTGCAATGTAGATGTGTGGCTGCTATGTAGAGACTAGGCAGATGGCCGAAAACATCTTCAGTGGGTATTTTTTTGTAATCTGTTTTATATAGAAGTCTGTAAGGATTAATACTGTGTGTACAGAAACACATTTAATTATCTAAAACACTGTTAGACATGCTAAGACTACAAAATGAGGAAGTTGGAGACGTTAAAATTAATTTGTGATCTTTTATCCCATTTTTTGTAGGCAGTATGTCACAGGGTCAGATCTCTGGCACAGCTTTACGCTTTTAAAAGCTGCTTGTCTTGCACCTTGTCAAATATGTCCATATGTAATAATTTACTACTTGCATTTTCAGGTGTTGAATTAAAATATAAATGCACATTGAAAGGACATTCTGCACCAGTTCTGGCTTGTGCATTTTCTTATGATGGGCAGATGTTAGTTTCAGGGTAAGCAGTATCTTTTGCTTGTTTAAATTTCGTGCAGATGGCTGTCCAGGTTCACACTTCAGTATTGTAAAACCAAAAGTTAAAACGAGTTGGAGTATTCAAAATATATTTCCAATAATTAGGGAATAGTTCTGTCACCTCCAGAACTATTGAAGTGACTTTCCAGTTGGTCTGTGGGTGACTGAGCTTGAAATCTAGGATGTTGCAAGCTCTGTTCTCTTGAGTATTGTAATGAGATTCATGATTTCCTGGTTTGGGGGCATTTATGTAGCCTTTCACGTGGATACTCTAGCATCTATTAAAAACACAAATCTACGTTGCAGTCTTACTGTCTCTTTGGGACGGCATTTCGGATTTCCTTCTCACTCATGCACTTTCAGGAACTTCTTAGAAAGTTAAATATCTTGAGATTTTTGTCTTTGATAGATTTGGTTGAAATTAAAAATGTCTTCACTGATCCACACTGGGAGTGTGGCAACATAACCCTTTTTTTCCATAAAAAGTGCATGATCGAGATAACTGTAGACCTGTGTTTTTGATGTCAGCCCTGTACAGAATAATGGTTAAGACCCAAATTAATCATGAACCATCAGTTCAAGACTAATATTATTATTAGTCTTTGTTAGTGGGTGATAAGGGAGTTGCCAGCATCATTGCAAAATCACTCCATTATGTTTGAAGGACTCAGGAGGGTGTTTTAAGATTCCTGATGATTGGAAAGATGCAAATCTCACACTTACCTCCAAGAAGGGCAAGGCGGAGGGATCTACAGGCCAGTCAGCCTAACTTCAGTCTCTGGGAAGGTTATGGAGCAAATCCTTCCAGTGGGCTTGGAAGCCGTTTCCAAACTCCACGTATTTGGGGAAAGCAATGGGAATGGAACAGGGGCAAGCTGAGCCTGACCAACCTGACCGCCTTCTGGGATGAGAAGGCTGGCTGTGGGAACAGGGGGAGAGCAGTCTGCGTTTGGTGCCTCCGCTTTAGCAAGGCTTTGGACAGGGTCTCCCAGTGTAGTCTTACAGCCACACTGGGGAGATACAGATCAGAAAAGTGGACGGTAGGTTGTGTGGAAAAATGATGGGACTGTCAGGCTCAAATGCTTGTTGGTGATCAGCAGCATGAAGATAAACTGGCAGCTGGTTACTGGTGGCTTTCCTCAGGGGATCAAGATATTGAAAGAGTAAAATTACAAATAAGATAGATACAATCATTTAAGTTTTTGTGAGTATTAATAACTGTATGCTTTTATTCTGCACTTCTCATGAAAAGTGCTTAATCAGTTCTAAACTAAGTGGCAACGTGAAATAACAAAATGATTCAACTCTGAATTTTGATTGTCTTTTTTACAAAGACTTTCTAAACTGAAACGGAAGAACTGGTGTCTTGCAAAGGAAGAAGAAAAGACTGCAATAGCGTGCAAACGAAAACTATAGAAACCCCAGGAGATAGTAGCTTGCTTTGACATTTCTTCAAGAAATGGTTTAGTGGGCATGGTGGTATTGGTTAGAAGGTTGGACATGATGATCACTGAGTCTCTTCCAACCATTACGATTTTATGACATTTTGCTTTGTAATCTTTTTCAGGGAGTCTTTTTCAGTATTTGGAGATCATTATGAATGTTGATGATCTAGAGTTATTTTATTATCCATTAGACATACGGATTATTGTTTTCACTTATGTTGTCATAAGTGAAATGTCTATCCCATAAAGGCTTTCAGGAAACACTGCTGTCGTGGTAAATAACTATGCAATTTGTATTTTGTGAAATACTTTATGTATTGCATTGCACTACTTTCTCTAGCTTGCTTTGCAAATGAAAATGTTTCAAAAATAAATAGAAGTGCTGAGAGTAGATCATGGCTAACCAGATTCTGTGCATCTGCTTTACGGACACTGCTTACAAAGACATAAAGTAGTTATGGTAGACAGTGCGGAGCAGTGGGAGTAGGGGCCGGTTTGCATAAGCACTATGCAAATCCTCTACATCAGAAATTCTCATGGAAGTACAGGGTTTTCATATTTAACTACTGTTTTTTTACACCATGCTGGAGGTACAGCTAATCAGCGTTGTTTTAAGGTGAGCATGGGTGGGGAGGATTTAGATACCTAAGCTTTTCGTAAAGTGTTGTTAACAAATCTGGTCTTACTTTGTTTGTGGAAAAGTTTGGTGGCTTTTTTCTTCTTAATTAAAAATAGTTTCATTTTTCCTCTCTGCATCATTTTAATGTCGGTGTGTGTCTTTGTTTTTTAAAAGGTCTGTGGACAAGTGTGTCATAATACATGAAACTGTAAGTATAGCAGAGTGCAAGATCATTCGTTGGATTGTTGCCTTCAAATAACAGCACTGCTTCTGCAGTGTCTTATTAACATAAAGAAATATTAAAGAGTAGAAACTATGTAAACCCCAGATAGTTA